ATGTCCGGTGGATTCAACGGAGCTGGTCTATTCAAGAGTTCTTAAAAGTGTTCTACCCATCTGTTCCTCTGTTCTTGAATCGGCGTGATTGTCTTCCCTTCTTTGTCCTTGACCGGTCTCTCTGGTTCACTATATCTACCTGCTATTATCTTCGTTGTATCATAAAGCTTTTCCATATTTCCTTCTCTTGCAGCTTTTTCCGCTATCACTGCTAGTTCTCCCACGTATTTCTTCTTGTCGGCTCTAATACTTTACTTCACTTGCTTGTTTGCTTCTATGTACTTAACTTGTGCTTGAAATTTCTCCGCTCGTGCTCGGCTGTTGTTAATTGCTGTCTTCTTGTTCTTCCTTTCTTTGATCCTGTCCAATGTTTCTATAGAGATCCATTCCGTATGATGAGGTTTCCTGAGGCCCAGAACCTCCTGACACGTTGAAGTTAATGCTTCTTTGATACCTTTTCAGTTGTCCTCCATAGTAGTTTCTTCTTGCTTCAGTAGATCTTGTAAGGCTTGTAACCTGTTGTTGAGAGCTATCTTGAATTCACTGAGTTTGTTAGTATCTCGTAAGAAGGCTGTATTGAACCTTTGCAGCGCTGTTTGTCCAGTTGTCTAGTGCTTCTTTAACTTCGGTTTCACTTTGTCAACCGCAAGCAGGTGGTGAAGTGAAGCCATGTATGCTCCTCTCCTGATTGTCACATCTTACATTGTCCTTCAGAATTTTTTATTGATGCAAATATGATCTGTCTGGTTCTCTGTGGTGTGGTCCGTTGAGATACATGTAGCTTTGTGTATACGTTTTTGTAGAAATATCGTGCGGCCTATGACCAAGTTGTTGAATGCACATTGATTTGCAAGTCTTTCCCCATTTTTATATCTCTCTTCCAGCCCATGTCGTCCCATGATATCCTTATATACGGTGTTGTCTATTCCAATTTCGGCATTTAGATCTCCCATCGGAACGGTGAGGTCCTTTCTTGGTCACTTCGCTATCATTGATTTCAGCCTATCGTACAACTGATCTTTATCGTCATCATTGTTATCATTGGTGGGCGCATAACACTGAATAACATTCATTGTAATTCCCTCCTTCTTTGTTTTGAACGATGCTTTGATGATTCTGGGTCCCTGAGGTTCCCGTCCTACAAGTGCATTTCATGCTTCTTTGGACAGCATTAGAGCAACTCCCTGAATGTGTGGAGCATTTTCCTCATCGTGACCGGAGTATAGCAGCATCTCTCCCGTATCTAGCCTTTGTTGTCCAGCTGATTCCCAGTACTGCCAATTTGCACCTCCTCATTTCCGTTGCTATTTGACTGGTCTTCGGAGTTTCCCACATTGTCCGGACGTCCCATGTACCTATAAAAATTGTTGCTCTGGTTGTGAGAAGAGACATTGGCCTCGTGACCTCCGAAGAATTTCGGCCTTCACCATGGGGCGTCATAACTCTTCTAAATGAAGATCTTCTAACTCCTAGGGCAGAATTAAATGGTTTGAATTGTTTTTTCTGGTTCGAGTTTTTTGGCGAGTTAGTGTTCTACGGGATGGGGTCGCTAAACCCATGCCAAACCCTCCTCTTTTACCTGGGATTAGGACCGGCAGTAACTATAGAAGAGCTACAGGCGGAGTCAGATGTAAGGTTGCTAAGAGGAAATAGGAAAAAACAGATGCATGAGACAGCAACCTCAGTTATTCAAAAAGTTGAAGACCTTTTCTTTCAGCTAAATAAGTATACGTTAGTTGTCTAACTTCCTGTGTTTAACTCAACAAGTTTAAACAATAGCGAAGGTTTTATAACAGGTATGGTGCGCTCTACTAATGCTGATAGACATAAGTATTATGTAACAGGAATTAGAAGATGAATACATATCAGCAAGAGAATGAGATAAAGAGAAGGGGAAGGAAACCATAGGTCGATCGAAATAAAAATAGGATTAGGAGAGTGATGAGGTATTTAAAAGAAAACACAAGGAACATGTGCAGACGATGTATTTAACATATGATCTTCATATTTTACAAAGGCATTGTGTAATTTCATATTAAACAATAAGCTGGTCCACCGCACCTAAGTGTTCATTCACTACACAGGATCCAATTATTATTTGTTATTTACACACATAAACATTAATATAAGGCGGCAACATAATATATAAGCGCCTCACAATGAAAATAAGGTTATGAAGAATGGAAGATGAGTATAATAAAGAAGGAGCAGAAATGAACAGAAATTAGTGTACGAGAGTGGAATAATAATAATGGGAGGAATTTTGTTACGAAAAACACAACCAAAAAGGATTCCTTCAGTAAAAGAGGTTTCTTTCATTTATGTAAAGAAAGTGAAAGTTACATTAGGATCACCACTGGCTTCTATTCTGAACCATGTCTGATAATGTCTCAAGCAACTGTGTTCTATTATCTTCAGGACCCCAATCAGGGAGTCATGAGGGGTTGAACGCTTCCTTTCATACACTGACTACCTCTCCACATTTCTCAACCAGTCCTGACATCGGTAAATAATGCACGATGTGGAATTCTCTGGGACATATTCAAGCCACTGAAGTCAATGTTTCCAGATGGCGACACCAATTGAATTTTCATCACTGTGTCCGAACACGCGTTGCTACACCTCTGCATTGCCAGTGAAGGTCAGCAATTCTTCGAAGATAGCGATGATCAAGCACAGAGAGACGTTTAGCATCCTCAACTCGGGGAGGCCAGGTTTCACAAGTATGGGGCAGAACTTCTCCCGCTGCCACATTGTAAATCCGACTATTTATAACTTGGCTAACATCATGAATGCGCCAAAGATAGCCTAGATCGACATAAGCCGCTCCGGTTTTCGTTATACATGAATTGATCTCATTACTCACGCCACCACCAACATTTATCCGACTGACCAGATACACGGACTTTCCGACTACTCCTGTCTTCTCACTACCAAGAATGAGTGCAGGTTCAGGATCTCGACAGTCTTATATAAATACATAGCACTCAGAAGGTGCAAAACACATGTCATACATACAGACATTGATTGCCAATTGATTAAGTGTTGATTGTATGGCTTGGGTATCATCACACAGTAAGACAATATCATTCTCATACTCAAAGATGATGAGTTTTTCTCCAAGCAACAGATTCACACCAACATTACCTACATCCATCAGAGCTGTTTCCAGAACGTCATCGATAGCAAAGTTGTAGAGGAATGGTGAGATTGGGCAACTCTACCTAACCTCACTGCTCGAATGGAACAATGGAGAGAGGTGGTTGTATGCCCTCACTCTGCCTGAGGTGTTTTTATACAGGGCTTTTAGGATGTTAATAAACTTCTCAGGCACACCCTTCTTCAATAGACAATCCCAGAGAACAGTCCTATCCAACGAATCGAAGGCAGCCGTGATGTCAAGAAACACTACGATTGTTGGTTTTTGAAAAGTATGGCGGTGTTCTAACATTTGGCGGAGGGTGAAGATATGATCAATACATCCTCGACCAGAACGAAACCCAGCCTGCTCCTCGCGAGTCAATCTTTCTCAAGTTTTGAGCAACCTACGAAGTATGATGGAAGCCAATAGCTTGGACGCAATCGGAAGTAGACTTATCCCCCGATAGTTGTTGCAGGAACGACGTGAAGCCTTTTTAAAGATAGGGACAACTATCGACTCATTCCATGACGTTGGTACACTCTCTAGTTCCCAAACCTTTGTAAACAACGTCGTCAATTCCTTAGTCAGAAAGTCACCACCATCTTTAAAAAGAGCCGGAGGTAAGTCATCTGGGCCAGGCGATTTGTAGCGCTTCAAGAGTTGGAGTTCCTTGTGGACTTCCGCCTCATTTGGTGGATCAATCGTCACCGGCCATGGAGGGCAGGACAGTCTGACCGATGTTGCCGGAGCAGCGGGCCATTTGAACTGCCGTTCGAAGAATCCTGCCCATCGTCCAAGACGTCGATGGATGTTAGTGATTGGCATCCCATCATCATCGCAGATAGTTTCACTCACACCAGACTTCTTGCTGCCAGTGACTCGGATGAACGGTACCTTAGCTTTTGACCCAGGGATCTAATCCATAAGGCCGATGCAACGTTAGGAGATGCAGCCCTATGGTAGTTGGTGACCAAGAACGGATTCGTACTCCATTTGCTCCTTCAGGATCCTAGAGCCCGTATGAACCACTGGTTTGGAATCAGGGCTTTCGACTCCTCTAGGCATTTCCTCTGTACCCACTAACACGGTTAAAGTGCCGGACACTCGCTTTCTGTCCTTTCAATTACGAAAACAACAACCGTGCCACGAAAAGGCAGTGAGTAGGACATCCCTGACATTGACTTATACGAAAGGTCATGTGTAAGCATTTTGAGAGGCAGAGCGGACTGTCCGCACCTTCGGCCGTAACAGGGCATTTGGAGGAAAATTATTTACTGTAACTGTGGTGTAATTAGATGGCTAGAATCTTGGTTATATAATTCATGACAATACACGTTTTCAAGATTCCTGTCAAGGTTATTTCAGGAATACCAATAAGTAAAATGTATTAATTAACTGAATCTACCGATACGAAATCATATGTACGAACATCCAAATACAACCACACGTATCTATAATAGTGGAAAGATCCTGAAAAAAACCATGAAACTATGTGATAGAAAATTACTGCCATAGAATTTGTGATTCAGATTCATGTAGTTTAAATACACTACAATTAGGATACATATTTAATGATAAGAGATATTTAAGATAATGAACTTTCTATAAGAGATCTGCAGTTAGAATTATGTATGTTGAGAACAAACATATGCTGAAATTCCAGTCATTTTAGTGCTGGTTCTCTGCTTACTCGATGAATCGCCATCATAAGAAAGTATAGCCATAATAACAGCTTAATCATTTACAAAATACCTTGGGTAGTAAAATCATCACAGCGCCAAGAAGACAGATGAATCAATCCACTTTTGAACAGCAATTTTTATTCAATAAAAACACGCTGGATTTTCATTTACATTATGGTATCGTTAAACGTCACTGGGGTTACTATGCTATGGAAATAGGTTATCTTTATCTCTAAATTTCAACGGATGTTTATTGAAAAGCAAAAGTTGAAAACGGTTTCTGATTGTTGAGTGTTTATTTCCAATGAGATTTTAGCAAAAGCAAAAAAATTTACATAAATAGTTAAAAATAGTGTAAAAAGAGCAAGCACAATTTCCACTCTCTCAGTAGTAGCATGAATTAAAATAACTTCTTAAAAATTGGAAAAGATTTAGAGTAACTGGGTTTATTGAATGTGTAAATAGAACTAGGAATGAATTGTTACGTCATTAATAGTAAATAGGTTTTATATTGTAAAATTAATCCTGAAACATACTAATACGGGGTGGATAATCTCATTCAATTTTTCAACTTTCCTCTCAAATCAAAGTAAATGATCACATGAAAAAGTTGTATGAGTAATGGCATTTACATGGAGATCAAATGAAATTTTGTAAGGAATCATTGGATTGAAAAGAGGAAAAAAGAAAATAATCAATTTCGCAACGAATTACGATACGAACATCAAAAAGAGGAAATAATATCCTAATAACAACGATGATCACTTAAAGTAATATTCGGTCACGGAAACAAAAACAAGAAGTAATTCGTTTCTACCAGCATCAACGTAAACGAACGGAACACAGATCCATAAAACACTGGAAACTTTTACATTCAATTTCTTTATCGTTATCTGCAGTAATGACAAGTGTAAATGTAAAAATGGTTTACAGTAAAAACAAACTAAAATCAATAGGCGCATCAGTGTGTGTAAAGATAAATTGCACATCGAACATTTATTCTTAAGAAGTTTATTTTTGGGATTAAACACAAGTCATAAAAATGCGAAGTTATTTTCAATGTTTTACATGAGAATTAAATTGGTAGATTTTAAGACTTTTTCTGGAATATTCATTCAAATAATAATCTACGTTTTACTTTTCCTATTTTTTTAAACATTATTTTGAGTGCGGTAAATGTCCAAAGTTAATAATCAATTGTTCAAGGAATACAAACGTTAATACAGTATGTGGTGCTAAACGGATGAATGCTGGAATTAGACCTTTGAAAAAAGATAATGGACCAGTAACTGCAAGATCTACAGCACAGCTCATTAGATCCTGGAACATAAGAATAAAAATAAAGGTGATATTTCAGTCCGTTATCTGAAGTAGATCTATAAGATTTAAGACATTATAGTGCAAGAAATGTACTCATAAAACGGATATAGCTTCAGTGGTATATATATATATATATATATATATATATATATATATATATATATATATATATATATATATATATATATAATTTATTTATTTATATAACATTGTCAATGTGTCAGCGTACAATTCTGCCTCACTGTTAGTAGAACAGAGGTTCAGCAACGCGTACTTAGGCTGAGAGTAGATGGTGATTTTGTACATGTCACTAAACTAGAGCATCAGCCTAAACATATCTTGAGTCCCAGAAACTCACAAAACCCGTACTATTTGGAATGATCAGTTTGTAAAACAAAGAATAATTTCATTGAATTAGAATATGTTTTGCCGTAATGAATCATTGGATGAAGTCTGAACAGTGAGTGCAACTCAGTGACTTTCAGATACTAGATATATCTCAAAACAGAAGTTAGTCTGCATCTTATTGTAGTTTGCAGGAGCATTATAGATAGTAAGATGAACCTTCTAGCTGGATAAATTCTATCTTGATAGTGCTCTTAACCGAAACGTACCTTTTAATATTTACCATAATTATTAATTATCTTCTTACGTTGTCATTTCATTATCAGTACATCTCTTAGTGTCATATTGTACTGAGACTTATTTGTTCTATAGATGGAAAAAACACAGATCCGTTTTTATTTTGATCCTAAAACAGTAAAGGTTCATACAAATAAATAAAATAAACAAGTTAGTCAAGAAATAAGAAGCTGTTACTTTTCCTTCTTGACCAACACAAATTTTTATGAGTAATGATAACTGGAGCAATAAAACGGTCTCCATTCTATAATGAACTAAATACGCACACAAACTTCAACATACCAGGTTGAAAAGTTCTTTTGTCAAGCGTCGGAATGCAAGGACGGTTGATTATCAAAATGGTAAAAAACTTCAGTAAATATATAAGTTACTGGCGTATATAAACGGGGAAAGTGTTCAGAATTATGCTAACCTTTTTAATAATTCGAAAGTTCAATAAAGTATTTCTCCACAAGTACATAACTTATGATCAGTCCAACATTGTAAATTTCGAACTGGGACACGTGTGAATTACATATAATATATAAATTCTTACATTATACTAATATATGTATATGGAAAAGTGTTCACAAATTATTTACTACTTAAGAAAGCCATTTAAGTTAACAATCATATGGAAAATATAAAAAAAAAACGAGTAATGGAACTTACAGAATACATTCCAGGAGGAGCATTCATTAAACGAGTTTTCATTACATCAAATGGTTGGGTAATAAAAGTTGCAACCCCAGCCTACATAACAGTAGATAAGAACATATTGACAGCCATGTAATGAACAGAGAGTTTGGTACGATCAACTGTTGAAAAAAGTACTGCTTATTTTTATAAACATATAACTTAACAACAGTTTTCAGATTTATAAACTAGGTTATGCAGTAAACCTATTGTATGAAATCTTGTAATGTTCAAATTATTGTGAAACAGACAAATTTGAACTCGGGTTAGTGACAGAAAATTAGATGCATAATTCAATAAACTACAACTGTATATAAATGTTTACAGTATTACAAAATATCAACTACTTTACATTTAGACTATAATGATTTTCAAAAGATTGTCGTTACACAATTTAAAGCATTGGTAGACGTCTGATGTTACACTGGGATCTCGCAGTAAATAAAATGTCGATCTGTCTTGATATCCGGTGTAGCAGACTTTCTTAGTGAAGTTCTCACGATCACAGAAAATAAGCACTTAGGGAACCTGTTAGATATCTGAGCGAAGATTAAATCACGAGTGACTTCCGAGACATATTAATTGACTAATATTATCTATACATTCTTATGGTATGACTATTCAGTAATTAGATTATGTATATTTATATTCCTCTTATTATAAGCTTTATTTTGACCTATAATTTTTTATTGTACGATTTACTGTTCTTAGGCTATGTTCAGTTTATTGACTACTGCCTCCCACGTTCACAGTCACTCTTTGGCTTTATTGTGTATGAATGTTATTTCTTATTTTATAGTGCATTGCTATCTGTTTGTTTGATATATAAACCCAGTATGTCTGAAATAAATGATTCGATTCGATTCGCATAGTGGAAGTTGGTATTGGTGTTCTGGACTCAAATGGACGAGCTAGGTGAACATAGGACCAATAAGGACGCTAGGCTGCCCATACCGGCCGAACGTCATTGGTTTGGCACAGTGCTAAGATAGTATAAGTCGAATTTTGATTGGTAGATAAATCACGTGATAAAAAGCCGGACACAGTCATAACAGAACCCAATTGATATGGCTGAGAATAGATCAAAGTGGCGCCGATGTATTCACAATGTATCCTTCATTTTTTAAATCCTGAACATTTGAAAAATTTTGACGGTTCTAGGTTCTATGTTTGATGAGATAAACGGTGTACATTCCTGAGTAAAAAATAAAAATAAAACAATACAACAACTTAGTGACTAAGCACAGCTTTGTGTACTAGGCTTTGATCCATATCTAACATTCGAAGACTTTACTGCGGTATCCTAAGAACATGTAAGTTAATAACACTTATAGATAATAAACAATAAACAGATTAGGGATACTGTGAACATCAAGAAAACAATCACGTTATGTGCAATAGATACTCCATAAATATTTTCTTTAACATCCTACTATAGCCATATTATAGTGGTAGTAAAAGTAATGGTTATAGAGTGAGTTCGTTGGGCAATAAAAACAATTGACTGAAGATGTACCTTTAACTCCACATTAAATCCCTAATTCCTACAGCATAATGATTAATAAAGTTATGTTGATGAAAAACAAATTTCAATAAGAATAACTAATGCACTATAGGCAAAACATAAATCAGCATTTCAAATTTAGTAAGTTAACAACGGCTACTTTATTTATTTCTTTTAAACGATCTGTCACTCTGTAAACACTTCAAATCAAATAAAATCCATCATGATGTTGAAACGAAGCATCAAAAGATGGACGATGACACTATTGATATAGTGGCTGAAAGTTGAGTACTTAAATCTCCAAGAAATTGACCGTCTGTCGTTGTATAGTTGGTTATTTTGTTTGAATTCGAACTCATAAGGACTTAATGGAAATAACTGAATAGTAGTTTGATAGTTTTTTGATGAAGAAGTAGTTAACTACTACATAATAACAGAACGATAATAATAAATACAACAAATTTGATAGACAGACAGTTGTAATCTGAACAATCGGTTATGAGACACAGGTTGATATGAACTTCCGCTACTTGTAGGCCTTCATCAAATCAGAAATTATTAATTACAGACTGATCCACGATCTTCCAAGACTGTAACTTTCTGTTGCAACTTTGTACAATGCCTGTTTTCTGATCCAAATTCAAAAAGTACTTAATATTTACGATAACGAACATACATCAATTAATATTTACCAAAACAAATATTTCTTGAAAATGAATAAAATGAATATTTTTTAAAGAATTACTTACTGCACTAGAACTCGCAATCATATGCGTTAAAGGTTTATCTTCAAATCCACCAGAGTTAATAAGCAAGATTTTAAATTTATCATAAAACGCTAATTGTCCTAATGTCATAAATGCGGCTCGAGAAGCAGTCATACTGACTCCATTGAATAAATTGATTACACCTTCATGACGAACTACATGAATTAATCCATCGATACAATTTTTATAGCTATCACATAATATAAATGGTTTTTTTAATTAAGTAGGAAGTGGATGAATCATTTATAAGCTATTAGTAGTAATAACAATAAGTTAATACATATTTAAGCTATATGTTTTATGAATGTCCTGGGTAAGAGTGAAACTTAAGCAGTAATTTGAGACTGAAATACAGAAAATTCCAACCATCAACTTAATTCTGTGTAGTATAATCAGCACTCACATAAAAGTAGTGTCAAGCCGAGAATACTAAGTTTACTCAGTTGTAGAGTTCTTGATTTTCAATTCTGTTTGAAGCATAAAGTGAAATTGCACCAAACAATATGAACGCATTTAAAAATTCAAAGCGATTTCGACCTAGGCGTTTCATTCGGCTGAAGAAGCCATGAGTTACAAGGGCAACATGTTCATATTAGATTTTAATAGTTTAAAGATCCCCATCATATTCAAAGACTAATATTTGGACGAAGAATATTCTTTTCGACAAATTCTCTTCAGGTTCTACAATTATATATCTAATTTAATAATCTGAAAAATGGCCAGGTTAAGGGCAAAGTGCATAGTTTAAAGCATGTGAATTTAGGATTGTCAAACAAAATAGAACAAAATAAAATTGTTAATGTTGATATGACTCATATAGAATGTTAACTCGAATCAGCTGTTTAGACCGGCATTATGACCAGTTTGCACTAAATGGGCCAATATCGAGCTGTTCATTTTCTTCACCAGACCCTTGCTTAGCCACTCTGGGAGCTGTTCGCGAGTACGAAAATGCAAATTCCTAGAACTTCAACCAATATAACTTGTTCCACAGGAGCAGTTGGACTGATAAATACAAAATGAAATGATCATTCTAGGTAATTTATCTTTTAGCCTCGGTGTCACCACTGGGCGCGTAGAAAACGCTAATCGTAGTTTCCGGCGTTGAAAGATTTTTGTATTGTTCTGCGTAATCTTTGAGTTAATATTACATTAACCGCACCCCCTCTGAATTGTAGGCACATGAACAGGGATTTCTTATCCGCCGTTTGTATCTCGCCTATTCTCACCTTCATGGCCATATATTAAGTTATAAACTTTCTAGGGTATCCGCTCCTCCTAAGAGTATTACTCAAGGTGTCTTCAGCTATATCCGTAGAACATATAGTGAATATTCGGTAACTAAGAGTTTTGATCAGGTTTTGTTCGTACTGTGGAGGTACAAGGCCAAGGATGTACTTCATTAAACTACCATTTGGATGAAGAAACCGGAGCTATGCATGCAAAAGAATTACCTTCAAGCGTTTCTCCTCCCCTGGCCAAACGTAAGGCCAATTAATCGATAGTTATCTATTGAATGACTTAATTTGAATATCGTACTTACAACCTTTCGTACTCGATTGTAATTGTCTCTGTTATCATTATTCATAAATCTTTGTATTATTATTTGAGTTATTATTATCATTATTGTTATTACTAATAGTTAAATATCATTATTACTCTTCCCAATAAATGGTTAATTCACTTCTCATTCATCCCACCTTATAATGTCTTACGAATTTCTCACAATATACTGTTCCACTAAACATTTGATTGAATTGTAATTGCATCAACCGGCGGCCTGCTTGAATATCTGGGCTACCTGTTCCACCGATCTAGATATTTCATCAAGTTATCTGTTTTGTTGTTTGTTTTAGCACATCACTATGTCTATTGTGCGCACAACCTATTCAGGCGCGTTTATAAAAAGTTTACAACCTTTCGCTATACGGGATACAAAAAGGTACAATCAGAGACATCATGGTTGCTGGCAATATGCATTGAAACAAATGAACAGTAATCAAATGTGGATTACCGAACTTCTAACATCTAACTGATCATCATTCAAAATTTATCATCACAATCGATCAAGGTATAAGAAAAGGAAACTTGATGAAATACTTTATGCTGAGAATTCTATGTTGTACCAAAAATATAATGTTGAATAAAGCTTCTAATGATAATAATAATAATAATAATAATAATAATAATAATAATAATAATAATAATAATAATAATAATAATAATAATAATAATAATAATAATAGTAATAATAATAATAATAATAGTAATAATAATAATAATAATAATAATAGTAATAATAATAATAATAATAATAATAATAATAGTAATAATAATAGTAATAATAATAGTAATAATAATAATAAATATATCTCTCGCCCTATCTGATCTATATTTATTCTGATCATGGATCCCCAAATTTTCACTTCACATATAAGCTGATTTGAGTTAACATTCTATATGAGTCATATCAACATTAACAATTTTATTTTGTTCTATTTTGTTTGACAATCCTAAATTCACATGCTTTAAACTATGCACTTTGCCCTTAACCTGGCCATTTTTCAGATTATTAAATTAGATATATAATTGTAGAACCTGAAGAGAATTTGTCGAAAAGAATATTCTTCGTCCAAATATTAGTCTTTCATATTAAATTTTTGTGTTTGTTATTTGCTTACCCGTAGATTTGGATATATAGGGAAAAAATAATTCGTAAAATGAAAGAGGTTACGTAATTTTAGCAGATGAAAAATCAGGATTTTGACATTACACTGTATGTATTACTACACTATGGAGAAAAAACAATATACACTGACCGTATAAACAGATAACTAGGCCTAGAAACATACCGGGGATGAGAGAAACACTGGTTGAAACATAGCTAATGCAAACAAATGAAATACATGGATGATGTACTATAATATAATTTTGTAAACACATATAGAGTATAATTATTAAAACTACACCTTGGTTACCATGTAGCGACTAACTAGGATATATCACTTAGTTTTATGGAATATACAAGAGTAAATATTAAAGTTTTCATATGATGTATAACAGTTTAGCACCATAAATTCATCCATACTTCACCAACAGTAATAGAACTCTCCATTTGTAGCTTAAAAACAGTTTTAATAAGAAATATCAAATGAAATTTGAGACTAAATCAAATATTCATCTGTTTAAATCACATATCAGTGATGGTAAGAGATAAAAATAAGTGAAAATGTCGAGGAACGAACGCACAAATATGCTTCAGCAGACGCGTACGTCTATTTATATACTAGACTATGATGTATATCGATTGTGGAGCAAGTAAGTTAATGACTGTACAAGATAATCTAAATGTCACTGGATGGAACACTTTTCGAAGCCCTGATCGATTGAGTAAAAGGAAAACGCCTAGATCTTTGAGGTATCATAAAATAAGTATGTATAAGCCACCTTACAAATAAAATTAGAAAAAACAGTTTTTTAAACAAAACGAGTAGAAATAAATAACTCACTTCCGTCGTTCATTAATAGGAAGTTTCACATCGTTTTGCATTCTAAAAATATAATGAAACGATCAATTTACGATCTACTATTAACAACAAAGACAAATTCAAGCCAACCAAATAAGCTAACATCAAACATACACACGAAAACTTTTTTTTTCTTAAACTACACTGAAAATCTTTTCTAACAGGTGACAGAAATATCAGGCATTAATAGAGGTAGTTCAAACAGTGTAATTATATTTCCGTAATTAAGTTATCGTTAAAACACATCAAAATAAATTGAAGTTTCAATGTTCTAAGTAAATATCAACACTACAAGCAACATAGACAGATCATATTTACTAGTCGTAAAAAGCAAATAAACCATGTTAATTTGTTTTTCAAGCTGTTTTTCTTAGATGAACAAAGTCAAACTGTTGTCTTCAGTGTGACGCTTCATAAAGATACTCAAATGTTTCTATAACAAGCCATCGATTATTTGACTATCATTGCCATTATAGAATGAAATTTAAGTAAAGTTAAACACAAATCGGCCTTTAGTAGCCAGAAATATTACATGACATAACATTACATGAAACTATTGCAAGTATTTATTGTCCCGGTGCGGTAAGACTAAGATATGTCTCAAGAAAGAGGGATCGGGGAAACACATTTATAGTGATCTAGTGGAAATATTCCAACTGATACTGAGAACAATAATAACCTTAGATTTAACATAATTTCCTATTTTAATCGATACTTTTATCTCAGCTTGCAGCACTTACAGCCCACAAATTTCGAAAGAATCCCTAGGCCTTGTTAGCCATATTGAGATTGAAATGAATACTATAACATAAAACTATTCAATCAGTCAGTCAGTAACAACGTAGAACTTCGTACGTATATACATAAATTCGAGTTGTCATACCACATTAGCACAGAGATACAATTGTCGATTCAAATACCGTAGTGATAGAGGCAGTAACAGAATAAGCAGTAATCAGAAACATTAGGGTTTAAAGATGTTATTCAAGGATTATAATCCAGTAAAATTGTACAAATGTTGTTTCCTATTTTATGGTACGATGTGGTTTGTTTGCTTGGTATATAAATAGAGTATGTTTGAAATATAATGATTCATAACTCAGAGGCTGTGACTTGTGTTCTTCACTCAACTGGGCTAGGACGGACAGCGAAGCAGGGCCAATCAGGGCACTAGGTCGTCCGTACGTGTTTTCCGTGTCACTGTCACAGATCGCGATCGATAAAATAACGCTGCTTATCAAAAGCTTGCAGTCACACACCCGTTACAACAAAAATAAATTTGGGAAGAGAAAAAAAGAGACAAGGAGAATTCAGAAGATTATGATTTGGGAGAACACAAAGAGTGGGTGCACCTGTGCCATTGCGAACGATTTTGAGCCATGTCATTTAAGGTCTCTAAACATCAGTTGCTATCGACTCGAGGATCCCAACCAGGTAGTCTACACCTACCAACATGGCTCAGTCCACCTGTCAGTGACTTCATGAATTTGTTATGTTTTGATCTGGCCGCCCCTAGCTTTCTTTCATCCTACTCCTACACCATAAAACATCGCACGTCGAGGCAGTCGGTGATTGGGCATACGTAGCACATGTTCCAGCTATCTCAACTGATGAAGTTTCACTACGTCATCAATCGATTTTCCATCCTTATCTAGTACCCGTTTCCTAACAACTGTATTACTTACTCGGTGGTCCCAGGATATACGAGCAATGTTTCGAAGACACCTATGATCAAATACTAGTAGCCTACGGATATCCTCTACTCTTAATGGCCATGTTTCACTGCCATAAAGTAGGACGGAACGAACTGCTGCGCAGTAAACACTGTTATATCCGAGTGGAGATTAAATTACAGGTAACTTCCGAGGACTATTCATGGACTAATATTCTTATTGTATAACTACTCAACAATTACACTATGTATATTTATATCCCTCTTATGGCAAGCTTTATTTTGGCCTATAATTTATTATTGTACGATTTACGGTTCTTAAGTTATGTTCAGTTTATTACCTACTGCCTCCCACATTCACAGCCACTTTTTGGGCTTATTTGTGTACAAATATTATTTCCTATTTTATGGTACGTTGCGGTCTGTATGATTGATATATAAACCAAGTATGCCTGAAATAAACGATCTGCTCTGATTCGGAAGCTGGTATCTTGTTCTGGACTCAAGTGGAAGGGCTCGTAGGACATAGGACCAATAAGGACGCTAAACTGCCCGCACCGGTTGAACGTCATTGGTTGGCCTAGTGTAAAGATTCGTATAAGTCGTATTCGGATTGATAGATAAATCGTGTGATCGAAAAGTCAGACATCCAAGGTCATAACAAACACGTCCTTTGGTTGATAGACGGATATCTCGCCTACGCCATAAATGACGCATGTTGGCAAAAGCTAGTCGAGTCTTCTATATCCGTGATAAGATTTCGTCACACACAAGACCACAATGGTTGATGATACTCCCAAGATAAGTGAAGCGGTCGATATGCTCAACTTCTTCACTCCCTATCATTACTTCAGGTGTCGATACAACCCAATCCTGAAGCAACATTTTGCATTTCGAGGGGGAGAATTGCATCCTCTGGAAATTTAGATGGAGAAAGTGTTATCTCTAAAAGCATGTCTACGACAAAGTTAAACAAGAATGGAGAGGTGGACAGCCCTGACGAACACCACTTGAGGTACTCAATTCTGATGACAGTTCGCCATATGCCCTCACTCGACCAGTTGTGTTGGAGTAGAGAGCCTGTGTAAGGTTAGTGTACATCTTTAGTACTCCTTTCAGTGACAAACTCTGCAACAGAACCTCACGATCAACAGAGTCAAGTGCCGCCTTAAGGTCGAGAGATGCTACTATTGTGGGACGTCTGAATATGTGTCTATGTTCTAGGAACTGACGTAGTGTGAATATCTGGTCTATATAGCCATGTTCAGGTAGGAAACCAGCCTGGTTTTCTCTAGTTGGTTGGGCGTCGAAGTATTATTGAGGCTTATATTTTAGACTCTATATTAGTCAAACTGATACCTGTGTGATCGTCACAAGAGGACCTTTGTCCTTTCTGATAGACTGGCACAATCACTGATTAAGACCAGTCCGATAGGATTACGTCCAGTTCCCAGATTCTACCTAAGACCTCAGTCAATTTCGCTGCTAATACTGGACCACCATCCTTAAAAAGCTCAGGGGTAAAACTGCCAGGGCCTACTGCCATTCAATAGCAGAAGTAGGCTGTTAAATTATAATTTTGAGCTGAACTATACGTCATCAATCAGTGCAAGTTATGTATATGGATTGTCACAGATTATAGATAACTAAAATTCGTTGGAGGAAGACATTGTTATATTATTATCAATTGGTATAGAGGCTTATAAAATGAAATCTAGTGAATGCTTTGAGTAATAGTGCAACAATGTACGGGACTTATGATAGGGAGTGGAGTAGTCGACGGCTCCGACCAGTCAACATATCTTAGAAGTCATATTAACCTTGTTGGTTTGGTATCTGATGGAATCTCTATGAAGATTGTGTTGATTTTGTATTACAAACTAGACTAACGCATATTTGCGTTCGGCTCTATGGGCATTATAACTGACTGAAAATAAGTAGTCCGATTATCCAGTAGAAAAGTTATTCACTTAAAACTCTTGAAACTACTTGTGTTATTCGGGATACGTTTTTATAAATAAAATACTACATTTTGATGAATTTTCCTCAAAAAAGTAGTGAACGTTAGGTTTTAAGGTCCTATCACCTTTTACCTTGTTAGTAATAGTTATATTCTAAACGTTTGTAGCTACTGGTTTTTATTATTGGAGCATTAAGACATTTCGGTACAGTTGGAAACGGATAGAAATCAACATTTTCTTAATCAATTGTGGGTAGATAGACTCTGCCAATAAGTTTTGTGGACCCTGTGTATATGGCTGAGATGTCTCACGCGAAATCGGTCGACGGAAAGCAGATGATATTTGGTACTCAAACCGAACTGTGATTTATAAAATTTAGGGAATCGATTCTAGATAAACGCTCCAAAAAAGAGCGAGTGGTTGGTGAGTGAGCCTGTTTTGAAAACTACTAATTATCATGATAACGAATTTTTCGACGATTATTGGTTCATGTCACTAGTTAGTTGGTTTCTTGGTTTCGAAAGCCCACTCGACTAATATGAATTCAAACGTAGTATTGAGGCGTGCATTACTCAAATTTCACACCGTTTCAGCAGGTTGGGCTTGGTTACCACAGATGGATGCCATACTGTGAAGATTAATATTCAGCATCTTAACTACTGTAAACGGTTTCGTTAACTACCACTTAAAATGTACGCCTTGTATAGGATTTTACGAGGAATCCGAAGTCCCCACTATTCAGGCGTTTTTCGCATACGTCTTGAAGGTGTGGTCTGTATCAGGGTTACTTAACAATTTGGGAGAGTAAAAAGCCATCCTGAACGGGTCATGGGGCCAAACTGGTTGTAGCTCTTCAATTACAACCACCTTGCCTGTTGCTCTGAAGGAGTTATGCAGGATTGTTTAGACATACTACTTGTTTATATATATATATCCATAATGTCATGGAAATAAGATAGAGAGAAATCCGAGAGCAGTTTGTATTTGGTACCTGAAACAATACTCTTTGCTCTAAACATGTGGACAAGGTGGTTGTGTTATGAGACAATGAGGACAGCTCAGACCTCGCTAGATCAGGATCCATAAGTATAGCATGTGTTTGAAAATAGTGAAATTAAAATAACTAGTAAGATTTGCAGAAACATGAGCTAATTTACTTTTACTTGGTGCGGTGGGAATATGACAATATATTTTATGTGACTGCTTTTTTATCCTATCTCGAAAAGGCTTTCCTATTTTTTACTATGATATTTTCTATTGGTTATGATCTCTGTATTGATGGTCATATTGCATCAAGTTCATATATAAAGCATTACGTTTACTAGAAGCATATCATGAACTCTTATACCAAAAACCTGAATTACATAAATTTGTAAGTAGACAGTTTAAGTTGTCCAAGGTACCTTCAGATACATATAATACACTTTTTCATCAGTTTTTGTTTTTAAGCGGTTCAAAATATCAAAGCACTTATAAACACAGGTATTGTAAACTTTGCTACGAAACAACAATGTGTTGGCAGTATTCTAGCTGCACAATTATACTGATAATCATTTCACCAATAAGTTTTCTGCCGTTTCGATTATCTATAACATCTAACAAATGTCCTGATGGGACTAAGTTTAAGTTTGAAACTTGACTCCACTTAATCTTCTGGTAGCGTAGCGTGAAAACAGTACATTATAGCTAGCTAAACGATCACCCGCAACTATTGTTTGGTCAAACGCTGATGACAAATGAGATTTGGGGAGAAGGATACTGAAATACGGGCTTGCCCTTTGAAACAATACGTGTTAATTTGAAAATATTGACATTTAATTATACACTCCTAGCTTACGTGAGAATAACTTTTAAGAAACTGAGGAACTTCAAAAGATTACATAACGAAAGTGAAGAAGGGAATAACAAAAATTGCTTGAATCAATAAGAGTCATTCAGAGGAGATTTTATTTTAATATTTATCGGAACGTGGGTGAGAATTTTAAAACAGAATAAAATGACCTGGTTTTGGTCAAAACTTTCAATTTTATGACTTTGATTTGAATTACGGTGATCATATAACTTTGTTATGGAATACTTGACAGATATTGTAAATGGTTCTTCACAGCTTATGTAGCAAGAAAAGGTGAGATTGATCAAAGTTTTGAGAAAGATGTGAAAACGGGACTCAAGTATCAAGGCCATCTACACAGGGAAATATTGTATAACACTACATGATACTTATTTCATAGACTGTTTGTGTTGTTCTACAAATACTATTGGGTTAATATGCATAGCCCACAACGAACCTAAACTAACATCCGGACAGTTTTTCAAAAATACATTTACATTTCTAATAATGTAGATAGACATATCATTTGTAAGAAAAACCACAAAATAAACAACTAGCTGCTGAAACAGTTATACATAAAATAAAATCCCAAAGATGTACAATTTACTTACCTAACATTGATCATGTCCGCTGGGCTACCAACGACACCACCACAAAATCCAGAAGCCAAAGCTACTAATGAGCTTTCACTGAATGGCAAGGGGGCATCTTTAGACTGTTTATAAGTTTCGTAAATTCCGAATCGAGTCATAGAATATGTAAGCTGTCTCAAAATCGAAGCACTTATTCCATTGTAAAGCGCTAAAACACCATCTTGCTTCCATACACGAATCCCCATGCTAACCATCCCGAACTCCTTCTTTTGTTGAGTTTGTAAATGTACTTTGACAAGATCTAACGGATGAGTACATGCAGCTGCCATAGCGCTAGCTACTCCTCCAAAATACCACGATCCCACTTTTTTCGGACGATTAGATACGACAGACATTGAGATCTTTTAAAATTATTGGACATGTGGTTAAATCACATAAAACTGAACGAAGTAAAATAATGACAAATATTATAAATGTAATATATGGGATAAAAAACGGATGGACGGTATTGCATAAGCATGATATTACAGGATAAATGGTGTATCTGCAGAATATGACAGACAGCGTCAGATTTGCAATCATATTACCCCAAGCATTGAAATGTAATGAAACAGCACTATTTTGCTCCAAAATGAATATTCACTTATGATACTTATTCCCAAAATAATATGAAACAACTAGAGTTCTACTTCGTACTATATCCATAGTAAGAGAAGTTACTGTCAATCTATGTACAATTACCAATGCTAACACCTGATCAAAGTATGGTATGTTCAGGGAGAATACCAAGAAACACTCGAGTTCTCCTAAGCATGATAATACATATATCCATAGGGAGATCTTAGATTGTAATTATGATAACAATTAGCATGCATAAGCTGCACCAAGACAAGACATAAGTAATAGGTGAAAAGGATAAAAAATGCTTTGTATAGTTCGTTGTTAGGTGGTTATGTCAAGCAAAAACAATATTAAGCATCATACTATCTAAGTAAACGCTACTATGTGCTACATTTATTTGACGGTACATGAGATACAACTGTTTCTTATTCACCATTAATAATACCACACTGGATAAACAACAACCGAGGCAGTAAAAACAAAATACCACCAGGTGTTGAAGAGTTGGGAAATATTGCAGAAGTTATATGTATCTGAAACATATGTAACACTACTTTTTAATTTTTAGCTTTCCATAATGTGGATATTCCAGGTAGAGCAAACATTTTAGTGCAGACTTCCCTGTATATATGACTTTTGAGTTCAAAAATAACGATTAGAACGTTAAGTAGAGCATCAGAAAAGACTTTTAAAAGCATTAGTTACCAAACAATAGATAAATATGCTACTATGAACGTGAACTATATCCTCAGTGTAAAACAAAGATAACAACGACACAACTTAGTACTCCGAAACTATTACAATGTGCGATTGTCAAGCAATTAAATACACAAAAATCATGGCGGAGCTGCGCTTCTTTAAGATTTACCAAATAATCATTACACTCATTCACGTAAAAGGACAGGAAATAGGTATGAAATTAGATGAAAGCACACCCAAATATCTAAAGGTCAGTTGGTCTTATGGCCTTGGGAAGGATTGAAATGGCTGTCAGCCAATACGTGTAGCCTATATGAAATATGCAGGATACAACTCTCCGTATATTCAAATCAAAAATGTAAGAAAAGCTTGTTAGTCTCTATTAGAAGAACTCAGCCATAAATAGGGTTATAATAAGGAACCAACAACGGCTGTCTACCCTACGAATCGTGAATGGAAACTTTTGTTTTTGATAATCCGGCCAAGAAAAGTATGCTTTGCCTGACTACATGTTTGTGTTAAATAAAGTGGACTTCACGAAAGTGTTTCAAAGTTAAAACTAGATAGAACAGTTGCGTACTATCCACACTATTTAGCACAACAAATCATTTAGGACAAACTTATTTTAAATCGTATATTCATAAGACTCATTACGAAACTGAACTAAGCATGGCACTAAAAATACAACCAGTATCAAATATCAACTAATAGTATCTCATTCAAGGCACAAACTATGACTATCTGGATAACTTATTACGAATGAAACAGTTGTAATCCGCAATATGCACTATTATTCTGCATGTCACAATTATAGACCACTTAGAAGGAAAACATGTTAGGGGATGAATAAATGTTGTCACCCAATCATGTCAAGTATTATTCTGCTAAAACAACATGAAGGCTAGTTTAGAATACATAAAGATGATTTAAGTCAAGCTGTTAATTACAAACAGTTAAGAGAATGTAGGATTAAATCAACTTATATAAGCTAACCGATACCTATTGTGGTAAAATGAGTAGCTATCTGATATGAACCTACGTTATGCAACAACACTTTTGACTGTAAAAGTTTTAGACATGAAGCGATTATATATATGGTATTGAATATACACACAAAAAATAAAAAAGGTGGTTATAATTATAGAAGATTCTAAGAAGAGTACGATGAGTGTCAGAGGACATGCAAAATTTTCATGGCTGGTGTGAAAACAGCTAAAATATATGTGCGCAAAACATTAATTCATATGTAAATTGTTACAACATAAGATATGGTTCCATGTTGACAGCCTGGATTTAAATCATGTACAAAAGCCATTCCCTTTTACTCGAACAATTATTTCCTGAAAAACGGTGGACATATCTCTCATATGACTCTTAGCAAACTCAAACCCAATAAACATTTGACAATAAAAAAATTAAATTGAGTTGTTTAACGTGAAGTTTAGACTCTGTTCATACTGCATGTGAAAATAATGAGCGACCAGCCCTATGTGCAGCGTATTAGCTAGGTTCTCGCCCCGTTCATCAGGTCCTATATTATTAAGAACGACCATTAGTTATAAATTCAACACTGATCCTGCACTTGGCAGTTGCATTGCCTTTAATAAATAACAGTCAAATTCAAAATAAAATCTAAAAGAAAACGAAGCTGATGATCAATTCCCAAATCAGTGTTTCGTCAGATATCGTGAATTCGTACCAAATTAGAGGACACAATAATTCAATAATGAACTTAAGTTATATAACTTGATAGAAATTCACGGATGCAGTTCGCCTTCAGATTGAGCTGTTTTGACAGTCCAGCCAGGTCATGGTCAAGTACGCGATAAAAAATCCTTCATCTCGACTCGAGTAAGCGATGGTTTTGTGAAAATCAAGAGATTAGATAAAACAAACCCGAAACACCTTGAAGCTTAATTTTACGCGAAGGTCAAGAGATCAACACAGTAGGTATGACATTTCGAGACTCCTAATATCCAATGTCGTTAAAATGAGCCAATATTCAGATTGAAATTTGTGTAGTAATGATAGAAGGTCTACGGCTTTTGTTATTCTTTTATAAGTATGCTTCTTTGTGTGTTCAGTCTTCCCTTGAATGAGTCGATAGAAGGTGCAAACACCACTGCTACTGGTAACAGATTCCAAGAATTGGTGACTCCGTGTGAAAACCTGCATGTCGGAGGTATTTCGTTCGTTCTTGACTCTTCTACTCGCCTGCTATGTCCTCTTATATGTCCCGATACGGTGGGAAGAAGAGAGGATTTATTAGGTGCAAAATCATTTCTTAGAAATCTATACATCAAAATCGGATCACCTCATAATCTGTGATAAAACAGAGTAAATGGGTTCAACTTCTCAAGCCTCTCTTTGTATGGCAAACTCCGGAGTGCTGGAATTGCACGGGTAGCTGCCCTCTGTACATTTTCCAGGATATCCGAGTCAACTGTAGAACTAAATAAATCCCAAAAATCAATATCTCTGTAAGTCTTCGACATTTGATGCTTATCAGAGTAGTTTTAATAGACTCACCTAGCTCAATATGCTCGGACATGCACTCACACCAGATCACGAATGGGAACGCCGTACTCAACTTCTACAACCGGTAGCCAGTTTAGATCAGTCACCATTGGATGCCGGCTCAGTGGTCCAGTTGGTTAAGCGTTCGCGCGCGAGACCGAAGGCCCTGGGTTCGAATCCCGCTCGCGGGATCGTGGATGCGCACTGCTGAGGAGTCCCACAATAGGACGAAACGGCCGTCCAGTGCTTCCAGGTTTTCAATTGTGATGGTCTAACATCGATCGGTTCATGATCTCAATCAACAACTTCATATATTGATAACCTATCAGATATCCCTTCGAACCTCCTCGCTTATGACTTTTGATTTCACTAGATGTGGACGATTCAACTGTAGAAGGTGTTACAGGTTAAAGTGTTATCTAAATACAAATACCTATGGCATTTCCACACATTTAAAACAGGGGCTGCAGCCTGAACTCAGTTCTATAGCGTAGTTCTTACTAAGGTTATGTATACTGTAGTGAACATGGCAGTATTTAACTTTGTGAATGTCCTTCTTAAAGCCCATAAGGTTCCAAATCCCTTATCTGCAACCTCCTGGCAATAGGCTGTGGTCTTAAGATCATGACTCACCATCATCCCAAGATCTCTGTGAGATCGTACAACGTGTACAGACACTTCCTCTATGCTATACCTATTGACCATTGCATTAGGTCAGGTCGTGAATTAGCCCACTATTTTCTGCTTATTCTCTCTACATATCTCCTTGAAGCTTTTGTAAATCTTTCTCCTATTAATAACTTCAGAAGCATTAACGCCATCGATACCTATGAGGGCCGGTGAGCAAGATATTTAAAGGTGCAGTTTATCAAAATGAGGAAAAAGAGAGGTTTTGGAATGAAACCCTTTGAAGTTCAGGCAGTTATTGCACTCAATATTTCCAGTACACTTTCGACCATGATGCTTAAGTTCGGTCCACCAGGCATTTACAGACTTACTTACTTACGCCTGTTACTCCTCGTGAAGGAGCATAGGCCGCTCACCAGCATTCTCCATCCAACCCTGTCCTGGGCAATCCTTTCTAGCTCCGTCCAGTTGTAATTCATCGTTTTCATATCTGCTTCTATTATCCGACGCAATGTGTTCTTTGACCTTCCTCTTTTTCGCTTCCCTTCAGGATTCCAAGTTAGGGCTTGCCTCGTGATGCAGTTTGACGATTTGCGTAATGTATGTCCTATCCATTTCCATCGTCTTTTCCTAATTTCTTCTTCAGCTAGAAGTTGGTTTGTTCTCTCCCACAGAAGGCTATTGCTGATGGTATCCGGCCAATGGATGTTGAGTATCTTGCGTAGACAGCTATTTATAAATACTTGTACTTTCTTGATTGTGGTTGTTGTAGTTCTCCAAGTTTCAGCTCCATACAGTAGAACTGCCTTGACGTTCGTATTGAAGATTCTTACTTTGATATTGGTTGAAAGTTGTTTTGAGTTCCATATGTTCTTCAATTGTAGGAAAGCGGCCCTTGCTTTGCCGATCCTCGCCTTTACGTCTGCATCGGATCCTCCTTGTTCATCGATGATGCTTCCCAGGTATGTGAAGGACTCTACATCCTCCAGAGTTTCGCCATCAAGTGTGATTGGATTGCTGTTCTCCGCTTTGAATTTGAGGACCTTAGTTTTCCCTTTGTGTATGCTGAGGCCTACTGGTGCAGAGACTGCTGCTACACTGGCTGTCTTCATCTGCATCTGTTCGTGTGTACGTGATAGGAGGGCTAGGTCATCTGCGAAGTCCAAATCGTCTAAATGATTCTGAGCTGTCCATTGTATTCCGTGTTTTCCTTCAGATGTTGAGGTCTTCATAATCCAGTCGACCACCAGAAGAAAGAGGAAGGGAGAGAGTAAACAGCCTTGTCTGACTCCGGTCCTTACTTGGAATGCATCTGTCAGCTGTCCTCCATGCACTACTCTGCACTGTAGTCCGTCGTATGAGTTCTGGATAATATTGACAATCTTCTCAGGAACTCCGTAGTGTCGAAGAAGTTTCCATAATGTCTTCCTATCTACACTGTCAAATTCCTTCTCACAGTCAAGGAAGTTGATGTATAGTGACGAGTTCCATTCAGTTGATTGCTCAACGATGATCCATAGTGTCGCAATTCGGTCTGTGCACGACCGATCCTTACGGAATCCAGCTTGTTGATCTCGAAGTTGGGCGTCTACTGCATCCTTCATCCGGTTCAGCAACAATCTGTTGAAGACTTTCCCTGGTATTGACAGTAGTGTTATGCCTCTGTAGTTTTCACATTTGCTCAGATCTCCTTTCTTTGGAATCTTGACGAGGTGTCCTTCTTTCCAGTCCATCGGCACTTGTTCCTCCTCCCAAATCTTTTTGAATAGAAGATAAAGCATGCTTGTGGTTGCTTCGATGTCTGATTTCAGTGCTTCAGCTGGTATGTTGTCGGGTCCCGCTGCTTTCCCGGTCTTGATTTGTCTGACGGCCATTCTAATTTCTTCCGTAGTTGGTGGATTGACATCTATAGGAAGATCTATGTGTGCTGCTTCGATGTCGGTGGATTCATTGGAGCCGGTCTATTCAGGAGCTCTTCGAAGTATTCTACCCATCTGTTACGCTGTTGTTGAATTTCGGTGATTGGCTTGCCTTCTTTGTCTTTGACCGGCCTCTCTGGTTTACTGTATTTCCCTGATAGTTTCTTCGTTGTATCGTAAAGCTGTTTCATATTTCCTTCTCTAGCAGCTTTTTCTGCCGTCGTTGCTAGTTCTTCCACGTATTTCTTCTTGTCGGCTCTAATGCTCCTCTTCGCCTGTTTGTTTGCTTCTATGTATTCAGCTTGTGCTTGGACTTTTCCTGCTCGTGTTCGGCTGTTGTTTATTGCTGCCTTCTTGTTCTTCCTTTCTTTGATCTTGTCCAGTGTTTCTGTAGAGATCCATTCCTTATGATGGTATTTCTTTAGACCCAGAACCTCTTGACACGTTGAAGTTAATGCTTCCTTGATGCCTTTCCAGTTGTCCTCCATAGTAGTTTCTTCTTCTTTCAGTAGATCTTGTAAGGCTTGGAACTTGTTGTTGAGAGCTATCTTGAATTCATTGAGTTTGATAGTATCTCGAAGGAAGGCTGTATTGAACCTTTGTATTGCTGTTTGTCCACTTGTCCAGTTCTTTTTTAGCTTCAGCTTTAAATTGGCTACAACTAGGTGGTGATCTGAAGCTACGTCAGCACCTCTCCTGGTTCTCACATCTTCTATTGTCCTGTAGAATTATGGTCTACTATGATATTAGTACTGCCCTTATGATAGACCTAATCCTAAATTTGTAGATTTGTCATGATATAACTGCCTAATCTATAAGATCTTACGTGGAAGTCACACCATCGACTACACCAACTCACTGTATCGTATCAATTACCAATACATGATGTAGAACAAGGTTAGGCTAGAGAAAGAACAATATATTTAATATGAATAGAAGATATAAAGTAACATTGAGATGGACCACGCCTGCATGGACGAGCCATGCCATCCGATCAAACCCAGTCCATTCAATTCCTTCTCTGCGCCTTCTCCATTGTTAGGTATTTATCCGCGTTAAATATTGAATATCTATTTTCTGAGTAGTCTCGTGTTCAGCTTTGTGGATTGTGCGGTTATTGTTCAATGCCACTACACTACTCTCCCACCAGAATCAACGTGATGTTGGTTCGATACCGAATTGGGTGGGATCGTCGTGCGCCGAAGGTTACCAAGACTAGGAAGAATGCCCCGGGTAGTGATAAGCTGAAAGATAAATCAAAAAGAAGGCGGCAGCATCTGGTCGGGAAATACATGTAATAATTTTTTTAAAAATCTGCCTTCATACTTAACACGCTTAAAATGACAATTTGGGTGAAGACTATTTGAGCTATAAAAAATGGGATTACAATAATAATAAAACAATGCGTGTTAATAGCCGTTGGTTAATAACTTGACGTATAGGTAGTAATTAATTTGTGTTTAGAAATATTAAAGTAATGAATATTGTAGAAATGTTAATATTGGTATTAGTTTTGGTCTAAATTATGAAACCAATTAACAATTATGCCGGTAACCCGTCCATATGTGATTTCCAATTGCATCTGTATTAGTAAACTAACTGGAAGAACAAAAGTATTACCATGGAAAAGAATTCCAACTAGTGTTCCAGTTAGTTTGATACGGTTTATTTAGTTACGAGGAGATTTTCTCAACCTCATTTTTACTTGACCGTGATAGAATTTAGTAATACTACTAATACACATGAATGTTCATCAAAACAAAATTTAAATACGTGAATGATGATTATATGAATTTTGGACAGATAGCTAGGAACAAATCGTTAAACATGAGTGTATTCGTAAGAGACATGCTCTAGACTCAATGTTCTGATCT